GGGCCCCGGGTCACTCCAGGCAGCAGGACTCCGGGGGTCGCTGGGCAGCACTGAGACAGGCTCAGGCACCATAGTGGCCCAGGCGGAGACCCGGGCCGGCGGGGCATAGGTCTTGCGGGGGTAGCAGATGGGGGGCGGCTCGGGGATGCTGCGGGCCTCTCCAGAATACGGCTCGTTCCCTTTCAGGTAGGCGTCCTGCGAGTAAGCCTGGCGGAGACACAGAGGCGGGTGAGCAGGGCAGACGGGGTCTGTGGGGCAGACCTGGGAGGTCAAGGCCCCCCGAAAGTGCCTGAAGGGAGAGGCCCACCTGGGAAAGTCTTGAGGACGTGGGCGTGGAAAGGCACGGCCAGGGGGAGGAAAAGAAGCCTCTGAGAGAGACACACACACACAGACTCGAGAACGAGCTGGGCTTTCTCTGAGACTTACGACAAGGACTGCCCTTAGCCGCAAACGTCCCAACATCTGTTTTCCCGGGTCCTCCCCCATCCTGCCTCCCTGCTCCTTGAGTCCGTGGATGCCCACAGCCCCTCGGTTGGAGCCGGGAAACCCCAGCAGAGGCCAAGGTGGCAGATGACAGGGAAGAAAGCCGGCTAGGGGTGTGTCTGGGTGGGGCGGGCTGGTGGGCGGAGGCTGGGAGAGCCCAGCTGTCCCTCCATCTGGGGAGCTAGGGACCTGGCTTCTGAGTCCCTGGGGTGAGGAAGAACTTGCCCCGTCTTGCTCCCTCGGGCCAGGCGTGGAGGAGGGGCCAGACGGACGGAGGGGCCCTGGGCCATCTTCTGCCACCCTAGGCCTGAAATTTGGCTCTGGGAGCTGAGGCTGACGCTGCATTGCTGAGGAGTGACAGGGAGGGCGCCCGGGCCCAGCCAAAAAAGGACGGTCGGAGCCAGCCTGGCCCTTGAGGAGCTCCCCGGGGGCCTCGCTTAGGGAGCGAGGTCTCCAAAGGTGGGGGTGAAAGCCAGCACACACACACTGCCCCAAGAAGACGCCGGAAGATACACACCCAGAGACACACTGGCACACAGAGCAAAGCACAATGAGACACACACACAAATAACTACACCTCCGGTCCCAGGCACAAACATCATGTGATGAGGATGAGCCAGACCACACCCCCGCTTGCTCGCCCCTCCAGCCACGGCGGGCACACACATACCTCTCCCTCTTGCCATCCTGCCGGCTCGCCCGGCTCCCTGCATCACGGCGGTGGCAGCATCCCGGCCCACCTCCGCCC